GGCTTGAAATACAAAGGAGTTGCCACGGCATAATTCAGGTTTCACGTAGCTGTGTCTAATTCATTCCAGCAGGTAAAACTGGAGTACAGCACGACTTAAGAGCAGTGTTCACGAAAGAATAAATATGGCAGTTTACCTGATTTTTTTAAGTTATGTTAGAATCACAGAATCATTAAGGTTGGAAAAGACCCTTAAGATCATTGAGTCCAAGCATTAACCCAGCACTGCCAAGGCCACCACTAAACCATGTCCCTAGGCACCACATCTATCCATTCTTTAAATCCCCCCAGGGACGGGGACTCAGCCCCTGCCCTGGGCAGCCTGGGCCAGGGCCTGACAGCCCTTTCCGTGAAGGAATTTTTCCTAATACCCAACCTAACCCTGCCCTGGCGCAGCTTGAGGCCGTTCCCTCTCCATCCCATCGCTTGTTCCTGGGGAGAAGAGACCGACCCCCCAGCTCCAGCCTCCTTTCAGGCAGTTGCAGAGAGCGATGAGGGCTCCCCTCAGCCTCCTCTTCTCCAGGCTGAGCCCCCCCAGCTCCCCCAGCCACTCCTTGTAAGACTTGTGTGCTCTAGACCCTTGTTGTTTGTAACTTGGCGTATGAAGAGATCGGAGATGTCTGTTTAGATTTTAGCACTCTTAATGTAACTAAAAATGTCCTAAAGGCTCAGCACTTGCACTGACTGAGCTTTACATAGCGCACAGGCTAGATAGAGTGCACGGTTCCAAATTTCAGTAGGCAAAAAAAAAAAACAACTAAGACTGGCATGTGAACTTCTGTGTTGAAAAAAACTGCCTGCACACTATATGCTGATGTTTATTCTAGCAGATTGATCTCTATCATGCATAATATTTTCATACCGTCATATCCACTAAATATGTTTTCATTTCATCCTACAAGTTTCTCATCATATGACAGAACAGAAGATGGGTTGCCAGGCCTGTGTTGTCTGTAAAACCAGATAACATTTAAGACATGTCCCTGCAAGACACGATCAATAACAGCGTGCCTCAAAAGCAACACTGAATCTGTGTAAAAAAGGCTGAGTGGAGCCTTTCACGTTTTTGTATCCTGGGTTTTAAGTATTCAATTTTTTGAAAAATTTTGCATGCCAATAGGCAGGCTTTGAGTTGTTAGTAGGCAGCTTGGATATTTGAGGAAGCAAGTTGCCTTGAAAACTGAGTTTAACTCACTGAAAAAACAGGTGTGACATACCAAAAAAATAATTTCTACGTTGAACCCTCCCATTCCATTTTAGTTAGTTTCCTTATTTACATTGTAAAACAGCTTAAAAGATAAAGGATAGTTATAATTTACATAGATGAACTTATTGTGCGTATTTAATCCAGTTACTACTTTATTGTCACAGTATTGGAGGGTGGTGCGGATCCACCTGGTGTCCCTGAGGGCTGACTTCTATACTGAAATTAGGTTCCTAAGCTGGGTAGAATTGCAGGAAGATGTAGTTCCTAGATGGGTAGGTTATAACACTTTGGAAGAGAGGAGAACCTGCGGCTTCATTTAGCAAGTGTCATGTGATACTGAATCATCTTTAACACCAGCGCTTTTGGTAGGTAGGGGGTTGTTTTAGCTTTTGGGATCTGCACAGTGTCAGAGAGATAAAGGCAGGGACAGTAATTTCCTTCCTACAAAGATGTTTATGCTGTAAGGTAAAAGACCTTGAAAAACTGTTACCTTGGTATAAACCTATTTTGAATATTCAGATTTATTTTGCAATATGCAGTATAACTCTGCAATTATTGTTATGTTTTATATTAATATTTATGTCTAAAGTAATTGGAAGTTCATTAAATACATTTCAGTTTACTGAAGAATACCTTTCCCAAAGTCAAGCGCAGTAGAAACATTATTCGTTATTTTTTCATTTTAAATGGTATAAGAAAAGCATTTCAGAATCAATTAGCATTTGAACTATAATTTTTTTCTTTAGACTTGATAATTGTGCAAATGTTACATCAATTATTGTGTGTATTGTGTGCGTATTATTATGCATAAATGTTATTTGAGAAGTTGTCATTAGTGTAACAACCAGTTCAGTATGGGAATAGGATCAATTATGCTTCTCTAGCATTTCAGTTTATGAGAAGATTGTTGTCTTTACTCTTTGCTAAGTTATTCTTGCATTTAATAATTCAATAGTCAGTCTGAACCATTTCTCAACAGGGAAAAGGGGGCAGAAGCTTGCCTTTATTTTCCATGTATATTCAGTGTTGTACTCAGGGGAATGGTATATCCAAAAATAGGACTATAAATAAGAAATCAGTAGCCTTTTCTGTCTTGCTGCATTATGTGGGTTTGATATACACTTCTGCAGGATTATTACTTTGTTCAAATCAATGCTCTGAGCTTTCCTTTATGTGATTGATTTCTTCCACATTAGCCTACGAAGTACGTGGTGTAATAAACACCGCTGTTACCTGTTTACTAACACCCGAATGTCTGCAGTATTACATACAGAGATCCTATAAGGTTTCCAAAATGCTTCAGTCAGTCATGAGATTTTGATGGTACAACTTTAGATGAATAGGAAAGAGAAAACAACTTGGGTCTTACGTAGTCAAAAGAAAAATAAAATTGCTTGGAAGAAATAGAAATAAGGCAAGAACTGATAAACATCAAGCCAGATTCTGTAGGAGATAACGATGAAAAGGAAAGATGCTTACTAGGGTATTCTCCTCTTTAATTCCGCTTTCGTGCCTCAGAAAAGAAGCATTTTTTCCATATTTCTGTGTTCTTAAACATCGCAGTAACATATTGAAAAGTATCAGTAGCACTGTATAGCTGTGCGTGTCCCTCCCTAAAATATGCCTATGAATATGTATCTGGCATTACCGCTTGGTGAAGGTTTTTGCAGCAATGGGGTGTCAGGGAAGAATTCAAATGTTCAGTGCGATGTAGCACTATTTAGGATTCAATGAGTCTGGGCTCCATACAGAATGCCTCCTCTTTAATAGGATGTTATTTCATTGCCACAGTTGCTTTTCCATAGCAACTTACAGGTGCTAATGTTTTAGGCGCCTATATCTTGAAAGAGTTCCGTGCAGGACAAGGAAGGATTTTGCATGGCATTTGGACTTGTGGAACCAGATTTTTACAGTTGCTTATGGCTGGATTATACGAACCTGCTTTGGATACAGCTTTGTACAGATTTCCATTTGCCCTAACAGCTGTATTTTTGTGTTTCTGCAATACCTCTCTGATATTCCTAAGACCAACATTGTCTAATGCTTGTCAACCTGGTGACTTTTGTGTATAATCACTGATAGAAAACGTAATGGCCTTTGAGCACTAATGGCCCGTGCAGCTGGGAAGTTTGAAGAAGAGTTTCATGAGAGCTTACTGTCTAATATTTTAACACAGATGTCCAAACACAGTATTTTTCATCTTCCTTCAAGTTCACTCTTAGTTCTTCAGTTTTCCTGATAACAGCCTGACATATCATTATTCCTCCCTATTTTTTTCTCACTCTATATACGGTAAGTTTTTTCTTCGTGCCTTTTGCAGCATTGTATTCTCTAGAGGTAAATCTCAATAGCTTCCCCGTGCGTCTCTCCGCAGATGGAGGTTGCAGCCTGATATACAGCATGTTCCCTCAGTCTCTGTACCCAAATCAGTCTGTGGCTGGGTCAAAAAACAGTATTTCTTTAATGCTTTCCTAGAAATGTTGTTGAGTTCTATTAATCTTTTTCCAGGAAACTTGTATTTCTGATATTACCCTGTTTTCATCCACTTTCCTGGGAGGTGGTTTTCTTTTTCAATTGCTGTACTATTGTTTTTAATATTACTTAGCATCGTTGTGTTTTCCTGCAACTTTGTATTGCAGAATTAAAATGCTACTTTCAGCACAGCAGCTATTGTATTGCTTTTGAAGGACAGATATTATTCTAACCCCCCCAACACCTAGGGAAGTATTGTACAATATGATTCTATTCAGTCCACATTTTTATCAACACGATCACCATCACCTGCAGCCATCATTCCATTTTAGAGCACAGCCCTACAGATATTTTTTTCCCCTTTTTGCAATATCAAGAGATGAAGAAGATGAATGAAAGTTTCTTGCATGTTTTTGTCAGTGTGTTTTTACAGCTCCCACGAACAGTGATGGACTTGGCAGCCTGGAGACTGAAATCCTCTGGTTAATCACAGGCTAGGTATAGTTCAGCAGAAAGACGTATTTCGATACACAGCCCCTGTAGCATGTCTAAGCCTTGAGGTGGAGAGCCTGTCTTCCCTAAATGAAAAAAAGCACTCAGGCCAGTCAGGCCCTGGCCTCATCTCAGGAACTGTTGAAGAGAAGCATTCATGCCATTGAGTCTCATGACAGGTGCTAATGTCTGGGCTGGAGTGGGCTGAGAGTTCCCTTTCACTCGCTTGGGAATTCCACTCTGTAAGGTACTGAGAGAAGGTGACGCTCCAGCCGGGTTGGAAGTTGTACATCTGCGTGCGTCAGGCTGTCACATCTCTCGTCAAATGACAGCGGGTGTTCAGGTCAGCTTGCATTTAGCCCTGGGCTTCAGCTGAAGCTCATTAATGTCTGTGACGTTTGGTTTTTTTTTTTTTTTTTTTTTTTTTTACTTGTGTAAACTCTCAAAATCCGATAACTAAAACCAGAGAACTAAGTAAAACAATAAACCTCATTCCTATTTTTAGAATGTTGAGTGGTTTTGTTTGAAAACAAAGCAAAACTAAGGCCCTTCAGAGACTCCTGCAGTATCATAGGGCCACAGAAAAAGTACTGCACCGAATTCTGGTGCATGGTCATAGATTGTAGTCTCTTAACATTTTTTTAATGTCGCGTTAGAAAGAAATGGTCTAGGTTATATTCCTTTTCACAAAGAAGTGTTTATGGGGTTTTATTCCTTTTTCCCTGAAAATCCAATGTAATGAAAGTATGTGCTATTCCAAAAGAAGTGCTGGCTATTAAATCTGCTAGAAATTATTTGACTGTTTTGTGGGTTTTTTTTGTATTTTTCAGCTAACAGGACAAGTGACTTTGCAAATTGCCAATGAACCAGTTTTGCCGTTTAATGCCCTCGACATCGCGTTAGAAGTTCAGAACAGTCTTAAAGGTAATTTTTGTTAGAGGAATATTGTTCTCCATTGATGCAGAGAAAAAAAGCGGTCATCTACTCCCTGATACTGATTTTCAGTTTCCACTTGAATGATAGCCAGTGATTTTACTAGTTAAACAGTGTCATTATATAATGCTGAATAAAACACAGTTCTTGTTACTAAATAAAGCCATAAAATGTTTATATTTCTTCCGATGTTACTATGTCAGTTAAGCAATAATTAGTATTAAAATCTCATAATGACAGTCAAAGATCACAGCCTCTGTGACTGAACTTGATTTTAATTTCCTTCAAGGCTCTGTTCAGTACAAGCAAGAGAGGACTTCTAATCCCGTTGCCATCTGACTCCTTAATTTTCACAATCATCTTCTGTGTTTGGTTATTCCCCTAACTCACCTCGCTGGCAGAGCCTGCTAACTTTTCTCCTTTTTCAGGTGTGGCCTAGCACGATAATTTACCAGTGTGTATTGCTTGAGTTGATTAAGCGCTGAGACCCTGGAAGCTCTGTATTTGAAGCTGATCTTGGTGTGTTTGGGACAATGGGTTGGGGTTAGGGAGAGGGGCAAAAAAAATCCTGATCAGAAAGTAGAGAGAAGTGACTGGTAACTTGGGAATGATGCAGATGTGACTCTCATAGACCCTGGATTTGGCACTGTTTGCTAGGTGTAGGATGAATGCCTTGATATGAGACCGCTCCATCAAGATTGTGGAGCCATTGCGAGTATTCCTGTGTTGCCTTCTCATTTCTGGCTCTTTCTGTTGTCTTGTGGCCTTTTAGGGCTTGATGAAAGAACAAGCGTCCTGCAGTCTTTTTGGCCTATGTTGACAACAGAACCCAATTAAGCCAATAGCCCTTGGCTTGAGCTGTGTAAGACAGCACAGTTAAAGGTTGCAGTTGTGCGTTCCCTTTGCTTCTGGGGGCTGTTCTGGTTTTTTTCTTTCTCTACAGTTGGTAGAAAAATGTTGCTATAAGGAACTAAAGCCATTATATGTTACTGAGATGTTCTCTGCTGCTATCTAGACTACAAAAGAACAATAAACCTTCTTCTTAACAATTATGAAAAGAATATCTGTCTTAGCTCCAGTCCTGAGGACTAAGGAGGGAGGGAAAGTCTAGGTTCTAACACTGTCTAGTGTCACTCATCCATATATGCTTTCGCCTTCAGTATCATCTGTATTCCTCCTCCCATTCTGTCCCTTTTCCTTTACAGTTTCCTCATGTTTTAGTGTATTCAAATGAGATCCAACTCTCCTTCCTTTCCTAAGTGACTAGTTGAAAGTAGGGTGGATGTGGAGAGCACATAGGAGGCTTGCTTCTTGGAGATTAAATCTTTTGATAATTTAGCTGCCAAACTCTAACATAATTGTGTACAAACCGAGCTATTTCAGCAGCTGGTATTCTGGTCAGCATTCGGTGAACTTAAAAGGAATGGTAAAAGGTACATTCCTGACAAGAGCCCCCATGAAATTTGAAAGACTACTCCAAAGCATGCCCTTCTTTGGACCTCACAGTGGAAAACTGTGAGAGAGGTAAAACCATCTTTTTATTTCCTCTTGTTCAATTACATCTCTGATACAGATTACCTGTAGTGTGCTAAGGACTTCAAAAATAATTTTTCTATTTATACATTTATGGAACTCTCGAGATGATCTGTTAAATAAAGATGGAAGTTTTATACAATCACACCACAACTTTACATATAGTTTAGTAGAATGTGACATCTTATCTCAAACTTAAAGATTTTTTGCAATCTTGAAGTGTTTCCCCTGCATTTCATTCACTCCCTACAGTATAAAGTATCGCTTCTCTGTAATACACATTCATAGAAGTATGATGCCTTTTCTTTAATCTTTGCCATCCATCATTGTCAAGACCTAGGAGTGAGTAGGCAAGCATTGGTCTGGAATCAGTGAGCATCCAAAAAGACAAGTCATTTTAGTTCTGTTGTGCCATATAAACATTGGTTTAGTTCAGCCTAAACACAGCAGGGAATAATCATCAAATCAAAAGTGTGGCTCAGCTGGCATTCCTTCAACTGAACATGAGATGTCTGGTATTTTCTTCCTTTTTTCTTTAGTTTGAGTAACAGGAAATTTTGATTTAAACTGACTTTTTTCCTCTAACTTCAGTGTAGATCGTTTATCTCAACCACTTCAGGGGAGGGGAAAATATTTTCTAGGCTGTAGGGCCAGCAGGATAAATTTTCTCAGAGCTGTTCACTTTGGAGTTTTGTTTAATGACTTTTCTCATGACTTTCGTGTCTGGTGTATCTCTGACTTGTGTCAAATAACAGTTTATTGCTATTTTGGAAATCAATAAGGCAATGGTCTTTTTTCTGGTTACTTAAATGAGAAGTTGTACTTTTTAACATGGCTTACGAATTTCTTCATTCTTCAAAAGGTTTTACATTGGTTTAGATTTCCAGTTCAAAGGGGCATTGTCTTAGTAAGCTATTTCCTTCTCCAACTTGATGCAAACTGTAAATGTAGAAAAGGTGAGGGGAAATCTGCACGACATGCTAGAAGATTTGTTCCTGAGGCTTAATTTTGTGCCTCTGGGATCTGGTTCAGCCAATCACTTAAACACACATTTTATCGCCTCTTGGACTTTCTCACATTCTTGAAGTTAAATCATATGTGTAAATACCGGAGTCACAGTTTTGCAGTCTCCTGGATGTCCTCACAAAGGGATGTGTGTGTCTTAATATTTGTTACTACTGCATTTATGTTTCCAAAGGATTTAATTCTGTGATGCGGTGGGTGTCTGTACTGTTAGCTCCATGAAATTCAATGGGATGTTACTCAGCACTTTATAAACCAGCAGTTAGTGCAACTAATGTTCAATCAGCACACAGTGCAAACAAGTGGAAAAACAAAACGACATTCCTCCTTTTATCTTCTTTCTTCCTTGCTGCCAAATTTAAAAAGAAAAAAAGGCCGAGCTCTTTAGTCTTCATAGTTCCGAAATGAAAAGACGAAGAAAAACCCACAAAGAGAAGGGTATCCCCAAAGAAATGATGTGTCACAAATCTGGATCAAAGGGCTTCACCTTCTGGCATGTGTAATCAAAGCATACGCACACGTTTACTGTTTCTGTTGTATTCAGGATAGGCTGGATGGCAGGTCATAGGGAAATGTCATCCACAGCGTGTTTACATCTGGCTCGAGGCCTGCTCCTCAGAAAGGTGGGGAAATGGCTGTTAAGCGACACGTGTTCTCTCCACTTGCACGCTCCAGAACTCTTGGAAACAAGCTCCTGCTTTTGGGTTTGCCTGACAGGAAGGGTTGCGACTGGAGAGATGTTTGTCTTTGTGCATCTGCTGATGGTCTGATGTTTAACAGGAAACCTCATGGTCATAAATGATATGAGATGGGTTCCAAGAAATCCAGGTCCCCGGGGCTATTCAGGCTGTTATCTGTCTGATCACAGATGTGATATTTTAGTGAAATTCATAAATAGGTGACAGTCTAAAATACTCTCATTAACTACACATTGCAGTTGTGCGGTGTTTGTGCCTTTCATACATTTAAAATCAAGACCCACTGCAACTTGAATCAAATACAAGAATATCTCTCTAGGCCTTGCCTGCTATGAAAACCCAATTTATCTTTTGATAAGCTGTCAAACCTGGTGTGTGAATGATACAAATGATTCTTTTAAGCACTTCTGTAGAAGTATTTTGTATGCATATGCAAGTGCAAATGTATAAGCATTTGTATATAAGGTTTTTGTATGTATACAAGCATTTTTATTCAAGACATATTCATATCGTCCACTGAATGCTTTTAGCACTGTGCAGTCCGGACTTGCACCTTGCAGCCTGTCTCACACTGTGTTTGAGCCTCTTTGAAACTTAGTGTGTATTACAGCAAGCTTCAGGGATTGGTGGTGGGAGCGTTAAAGTGTCTCCTTAGGATCAAAAGCCTTTCTGTACCTTTGCACCTGGCTGACTCAGCAATAACAAGTTCAATCCCACAGTTTACAAAAATAAAGGCGTCCGGGTTCGACGCTAGCCATGTCTCTCACTTAGGTGCTGTTGGCTGGAGAAGCCGATACCGTTTCATTATTGCAGGTTGCTGGGCCCACCTGGACTCACGCAGACCTTTCAGAAATTGGTATCTGTTGCCCCAGCCCTAGATCTAGGCGCAGATGCTAAGGTTTCCTACTCGTGGCTTTCCTCACAGGCTGCTGAAGCTGGTAAGCAGATCAGGTAAGGCGTAGGCCATCTCTAATAGGCACTGGCTGAGAGAGGCCTATGAAGACAAATAAAGTTAACTGGAGGGGGGGGAGATTTTCTGGTTTTCCCCATGCAGGGAGGGCAAGGGCTGTGATTTCAAGCTCTTTGGCTGACACAGTGTCAGTTGTGTGTTGCTTCTTATCAGTTAGGCCCTTTCTTCTCCCCTGAATGGATGTTTTACAGATGTTACAGCAGCTGAAGTACTCGGGCTGATAATAGTAGTCAGTGCTAACAGAAATTTAAAAATAATCTGTTTTATGATAAGCCACTTCCAGGAAAGTCTGCATGACTTTCCACAGCCCTGGCTCAACCCATACATTTCAAAACATCAGTCTAAACTCTCCGTCCTTAGAAAAATCAATACAGAAACATCTCTGTCATTTACTTGATGGCTGCATACTCATTGCCCACAGCTATCTGCTAGTCTTCAGCTTGGCATCATTTTACCTGCTTGACCGTATTTCCCTGATCATTTAGGGTGCTTTTCAGAGTTACTTTCTCCATCTGTCAGTAATGTTCAGAAAGCTTCCGTTTTTATTGTTCCCACCCATTATTCTTGACTGCTACAAAGGTGAAAAATGCAACAGTTAGTTATCTGTATATATGATAGAAATACCTTCTTTGCCCTGAGACACTGACATCTTATCTTCAGCATCCTATCAAGGATATTATATATCAGTACTGGCAAACCTTTCATCAGCCTTTAAAAAAAATCATGGAAAAATGCATTTTCCATAGACAAAGCGTTTGGTACTGAAAGGAAAGGATAAGCATCCGTTCTGTGTCAGCAAGCCAGATACGTTTCAGGAGCTCTGTACAAAGTCATTGATAACCTCCTCTGTATCGACATGCATAACAATGTCACCACGTGCCTTTTTAATCATTGCTTCTTTGAAAAGAGGCTTCTTGTAGCAACAGCAGATTAGTTTGCTTGGGCAGTAGCAGTCATGGTAGCAAAATTGAAGCTGATGGCAACATATTCTTTGCACTGAGGATGTCCGTGGATTTGTGTTTCTGCCCCCTTCAGGGTACTTTCTACAAAGCTTTCCCATTCAGATTTTCCACTGCCAGGTCTGATCATCCAATTTTGCACAGCATGAAAAATCTTCCTAGTGAATACAACAACACACCATGGCTGATCGTGAATGTGCAAGCTAATCAAAACCCGAAGCAATTTCCCCTCTCTCTTACATGCAAACACATGTTCACATGCACGGAGAGCGAGCGTCATGCCTTAAACCGCTGGTTTGTCTGTGCTCATTCTCCTGTAGGTACTCGTGGGCAGGTACATTCGTACCAGAGGGCGCAAACACAATTGTAAAATGTTAAATCTCTCGCAGTACTTTTCATAAGAGCAATCAGTTACACAGGGAAAGGCTATTGTATTCTGTGTCTGTAAAAATAAATACTTATTTGGTGTAACCTGTTTCTGAATAAAATCCAGTTACATTTAGCAAGTGTAATGAAATTCAATGGTATAAGTCTTTGATCAAGAGTACACATACTCCTGAGTCACTTTCTTGTACTTGCAATTTTATTTATTTAACAACTAAACAACTGGCTTAGATGATTCATCATGATTCATACCGGAGAAAAAAGGACAAAGAATGGAAGTATAATAATGTGGCGTTGTTTTCTCTTGAGAGAAGTAACACTTGCAGGCTTTTTTATTTTCTCTGTAGAAGCATCACAAGATCTTTAAGACATTATTAGTTAATGCGCCCTTTTCTTTAAGAATCATTTGCCCTTCCACTCCCAGCACCGCAGCTTGAGAAGAGCATAACGGTTTCCCTTGGCCGTGAAGTTCAGTGTGTTGTGGTAAAAGCTACTGACGCCCTTAAAGCTGTGTCCTTAGTTCTCTGTGGTAGCACTAGCCATAGACACTTGTGAAAAAAGGGCCTGGGTGTTTTATAATGAGTGCTGGTCTGGTGTGTGATGTAAACACTGCTTTTTACTCATGACTGTAAAGTAAAATGTAGTTGGTTTAGGGGCAAAATGCACGCTGTGGAGAAGCAGCAAGAGCATTTACAGGACTTTTGTGTTTAAAAGGGTGGTCTGGTTGGCTTCATTTCCAAACACAGAATGATGTATTTTCCCTTTCTCTCACCTTCCCTATTGAAAAGGCACAGCTGACATTTACAATTGTTTATATAATATTCAGAAAAAAAGTATAAATGTGGAACGTTACTTGCTTTGCTGAAACCAAAGGATTCTTTCTAACAGGGTGAATTTAAACCTTTCCGTACTGACACAAGTCCTGGGGTAAGGAACGCACAGTGCCTGGGTTATAGGCATGGAGATCGCAAGTTCAGCTGCACAGGATGTTTGCCTGAGGCTTGAAAATTGAGGGTACTGATGTTCTGCAAAGTATCCCAAATGTAGTAAGTTTATATGCTTGGAGAATATTTTTCTGAGGCATCAGGCTAAGTTAATCAAGACTTTAAATTACTCCAGACTCAATCAGAAAGATACCGGTCCTGTGCATCAAGGTACTACAGTGCCTGTTATCCATTCTAACTAGGGACAGGCAGACTGGGCAAGAGCCACTGACAAAGCAGCCTTGTCCCAAACCAAGACAGACGTAAACCATCTTGTCTCACTCCTGTTCCCACAGGGAGCTTCTGTTCATTGTTGAAATTCATCTTGATAACTCAGGAAATCTGACAGTTTCTCTCACACCGGCATCTGTCTCTCCATGTATTTTGGATCATTTCATGTTTTGCTAGATTGGAACGCATTAGTCAGCTGATGACAGGAGCGCGTGGAGATCTCTGAACTCCTTTCCCTTTGCCGAAATGTAGCCAATAGCAAATCTCTTTTTCCATACGAGAGGGAGAATATGTCATATGTCATCAATTCCTTGAATTTCTTAGTTGTACTTATTTGCTTTTCCATTCCTGTTAATATGCTCACCTTTCAGACTCCATCCATAAATAGTTTGAGAAATGGGTCGATGTTCTCCATTTACTATTTCTGATCTCTCCATCTATCTATTCGACAAGGAACTTTAGTGTTCATTTAACTTGTGTCTTGAACCACCCTGTTGCGTTAGTCATCTCAGTCACTAAGATACTGAACTCACTGAGGTTTGTATGTTCAACTAAAGATGAGACAGCTTCTGAAGCTGCATGGCTTGTTTTGATTAAATAGCCAGTTAAAAGATCCAAGGATAGTTAATTTCCTTGTCCTTAATAGGGAAAGTGAATCTTGGCCTTAAAGATCATTTCTGCATCCTGGAAATGTTTTTGCTGGCTGATGTTACTTTTGACTTTATATCAGGTTCAGACTCTGCTTTCTCTCTCCATCTGCTTGTAAAAATTAACGAAGTTTATGCGCACGCTGGGAAAGGAGGGCATGCACTTCACCTGCACTGCAGGTGGGAATAGGCTGCACAGTCACAGTGCTCCAATTCACGTGTCGCATTCTTCTTTCTCGACTACGACCAGGGAAATATCGAAATCGTGGTGTGCTCCAAAGTGCTGTGGGCTTTTATTCTTTTGGTGTCTGTGTAGGATTGCAAACAAAGTAACAGCAACCACTCCAAGTTTAAAAAGTTTTGAAAATATTGACTGGATTAGAATATACATTTGGGTATCAATTAAAGTGTTAGTTGGCTCTTTGGCATATGATTTAAGTGATTAAGAGGAAAAATTTCACATCCCCTCTACAACTGTCGTTAACCTCTAGGATTCTAAAGTGTTGAACAAAATTCAGTTAAATTCTGCATATTGTGATTTTCTATACAGCAGTCATTATGGAATCTAAACACAAGCTTTCAAACTTGAGAGCATTAGCATCAAATGGCATTGAATAAATTCTGTCTCGGAAGGAAGGGTGACAGTTATGATGTATAACCATTGCTTCCTGCATGCCTGTTTTTCCAGTGGTAGATTTCAAGCTGTACCCCGAAATCATTCCTCGTAGCTTATTGGATCTTAAAACATCACGGTCGAAATTGGTCATCTTTGAAAAAGAGATCAGAGCTTATGCACAATGATCTATGGCTTTCCTTGATCCCTTGCATAATTCTCACAGGGGAAAAGAGGCTCAGGTTTTAATTGGACTGTTAATTTTGACTTGTAAGCAAGAGTAATAAATGATGTTCTCTGAATCACTGGCAACTGCCTTTCTCTTACTGTTCCTAGGTGCTGAAGTAGACATTCCTCAGTTGCTTGCAGCGGCATCGCGTCTGAGGGACACCGCAGAATTGTTCCAATCGGATGAGATGCGCCCAGCTAATGACCCCAAGGAGCGAGCTCCTGTCAGAGTCCGCATGCTCAACGATGTGCTACAAAGCTTGGAGAAAAGCTTCCTGGTTCGTCAGGCTCCTCCAGGACTTTACAGGTGTGGTGTTCAACACGTTCTTCATTTGAGCTAAAACGGTAATCTCGCATTGCTTGGTTGTCAAAACCGTCATGCTCTTTTTAAAAAAATCCCAGCGAGTATCCAAGATTACAGCTGTTTTTTCCTATTTCACCCTTTCTGCAGCAAACATTAATTCATTACAATACAAGAGGTCGTTAGAATGCAGCACTGTAGCATTTCTGTCGTGACATCACTGCTAACAAGATGTACGGTGTGATGGCAATTCAGGCAGCATGACAGATACTTGTGTTAGATGGTACAGTAAGCTTTCAGAAGAAGAAAATATTTTGAAGTCTAATACTGCTTGACAAGCTCCACTTATATTTTATTTAAAACTTTTTACAGTTCATTGAAGATTCAGAATTATACAAGATACTGTGTAGCATTATTTAACGTAGTTAATTACATAGCATTGTTCTTGGGTGCATTTCAACCAGTCAGCGGCAGTACAGTGGAGCGAATGAGAGGGCCTCAGTCCGCCACCATTCATAACATCTTGTCTGTAGTTAGAATTATTCTCCAATATGTATTCAGCTGCACTACCCAGGTTGATTTTAAGATGTCACAATCACTCCATCTTTTGCTTTCTTAGAAAGAAGTCTACAGGTCTATATCTCTCACCGTAGATTCCTCTACAAAAAAAAAACTTACGGCAATCAGTAGCTTTAAAAAAGTGTGAAAAGCAAGAACTGGCCAAGCCTGCCCTGAGTAATGCCTGGCCCTCTGGCTGTTCAGGAGAAGTAATAAAGCGTGTGCATGTGCTTCGGTACAAACTGTCTGAAGCGCTGTATTGCAGCCCATCAATGTAGTGTTTTGTAGCTCGACCCCAAGGATATGTTTGGAATGCCCTGGGCTACGGAGTGAGGGCATATGTGAGTTGTTTGACTTCATCAGGGCTACCGGGATTATTGCGAAGGACTCCGCGGCTGAAGATAGCCAGTGGCTCATCTGTGCTGCCCATTAGGAGGCTTCCCCAAGTAACGCTGCCCCTAAAGCAATACCCAGGTTTTACTTGAGGGGAAACTGGTTGGCATACTCAAAAAGGAGAGCTTGGAAGTGAACTGGCGTACGTACACAGGAGACAGTCGGGGCCAGGACACAGAAGTGAATGAGGCAGCTGTGTTATTTAGGAATATAAATGTACTTGCAGCCGGAACTAGCTAAAGTAATAAAACAGTACTTTGTTGCAGTTGATGGGGAAAAAATTGTCAAATGTCTTGTGCAAGTGATTGTTTCAAGTGGGCACAAACCAGACAGATGGTAGAGGTGGACTTTGGAAGAAGAGCAGAAAGCTACAGCATCAGGAGGAAGAGATTCTTCCAAGCATTAGGAATGGCATAAAAAAAAATGCAGCCATCTTTTAACAAAAATAATAAAAAAAAAAAAGTAGTTGTGGTGAACTCAACAGTGTCAGCGAATAAAATCCCTACAGCTATAATGAACGAAATATAATATTTGGGGAGTCATTTATATTCTAAAGAAATAAACCAAAATGTGATTAAATAGAGTCTAATATTCCAGGTTTAGCACTGCTGTCTTCCTTGTCTCAACTCGTATGGTGTTGCAAAGGAGCCATAAAACTGCTTAACAGAATGTAATGTGTCTGCATTGCATCGCAAAGGCACATTGTTGAAGCTGGCCCAGTTCTTTATTTGTAAAAATAAATTATACCAAAACTTAGGATCCCAATAACATGGTTTTTTGAGTTCTTCTAATATTTAAATTCTTGCAGTGCTTGCAGTATTAAGTTTGTTATTCATCAAGATGTAATTGCTAGATAAGCAGGTATAATGTGAATTAAATTTTTCACCTTCCTGCTCTCAGCAGTACGTCGGCGCAGAGCGTGGTATTCACGCTGGCAGAGTAGACAGTGTGGAAGTGAAAATTTTTTAATTTTTTCCCTCCTGATTTCATTACATTTGATACAAGATTTAACAGTAGACAAAAAGGTTACTTTTGAATTTTTGGGAAAACATTGGATTTGACTTTAGTCTGAACTATTTTACCTAACACCATCTGGAGTATATAAGAGTAAAGTACACCTTATGTATCATCAGTTAGATACTTATTTGAAAAGAATGCGTTCTTTGTACTGTGCCAAGGTGTGTAATTGTAGTGTAGATTTACCCTTAATGCAAACAGAATCGAGGACAGTGGTAGATTTCTGATTTCCTTTCCTGACATTAAAAATCTTCAGTGCAGTTTTTTTTTTAAAAAAGCACCTAACAATGTGTCTTCATTTGGGTTATTTTTCACTTTTTAGGGATTGAACGTCCTTCTATTATTTGATGCAGTTATATGAATCTGTTTTGTGTTCTGAAGCTATAATTGTATCGCAGGAACACTAGAAGTACTTGAAAAAGCTGATGTTCTTTTTTTCGCTTGTATAACTTTAAGCTTTTCTTTTTGCAATTTGGTAAAGAAAACAAACAAAAAAATCACTCTCACAGCCAGGACCTTGTATGCCATGTTTCATCCCAGTGGGAAGATTGATGGGCAAGTTATAAACCCCTGAAATAGTGGTTTATAATGGAAATGCTGGCAGCCCTTTAACTATAGCAGCGCAAGCAGTGCAGCAATAAATACTATGCTTCATCTGTAAACAGAAATTTAGGATGCAGTTTGCAGCCTTGACCTTCAGGCTCCAACTGTGTTTAGATCATTAAGATTCCATAAATACTGTAATTTACAGCCTTCTGAAGGAAGAATTTGTGTGCACAGTAAAGCACGTATTCTTCGTGAAAAAATGATTGCTTCCTGTATACCCATTTGGACTCATATTCTCAACCTCAATCAAAGTACTTGACAAATTTGCTGAAGTTTAGGCATCATTTTTAGGCTTGTGTTTGTCCTAATTCACAGCTCTCTGGATCTGTACTATGTTTTCTCTTCTAAAACTTGAATTAAAAAGAAAGGTGGATTTGTTGCTTTATTGCAGGAGGTGGGTTGCAACCTCCTTGTGTTTGTCCACTACAGGGGAACTAATATATCTTTTCTGTATCTTGTTTATATGGTTTGTACACTCGTTGCCATAGCTGTAGTCTCTTGCTGTATATCTGTACTTTAAAAAATAGATGCCTCATGGCAATATTTGGGCATAATTGATGCATTATTTATCTGTAATGAGCATTAAAATTATTCAAAGTTACTAACAGAATTCAGATTATTTTAATTTTGGTAATTACATTAGAACATCCTGACTAAATTTAAGTAATGATGATTGACGTTGGCAGGTTGTTCAATACAGTGTAAGTAAACAGGGTAGTTTAGATTATCCTTCTTACCTGAACTTCATGACATTGAACAGAAAATTTGACAATAGCATACTTGCCCCATGATATTCTATTTCCAACTGAGCTGGAAATATACAAGTACAGCTTTCATCAGGGTATTTTAGTCTTATCCAGAAGTCTAAGCAGAATGAAAAATAATAGGTTGAGAAATATTACCCTGCTTTGCCAGGGTTACCCTGGGGCTTGATTTGGGGTTAGGACAAAATCTCTGAGTTTTATTGCACCTGAAGAATTTCTGTGATTCCCAATGGTAACCCCGGGTAGACTTTCTATTTCCAAAATAAATGTTTAGGAAGGAAATAGGATGGCTATTGTTATTTTTCATTTATCTGCCTTTGCTTCTCATAACGTGAGCATAATATTGATAATTTTCTGATTTATATTTTGTCATTATGGGTACAAGTTTCTCCCAGGGAGATTCCAATTTGACATGAGAGGAAAATTTTTCACAGTGAGAGCAGTCAACCATTGGAATAATCTCCCCAGGGAAGTGGTTGACTCTGCTACACTGGACACGTTTAAGACTCAGCTGGACAGGGTGCTGGACCATCTCGTCTACGCTGTGCTCTTGCCTAGAAAGGCTGGACCAGATGATCCTTGAGGTCCCTTCCAACCTCCTATTCTATGATTCTATGATTATATTAATGGAATAATCGGTAGAAATTTGTATATGTTTGTTTCTTTCCTCTAGCCATTTCTTGCTTTCCACTCCTACAGTGTATACTTGCGCTGAACATTTCTGTATATTTTCTGATCGTATTTTGCTGCCAGTACCTGTAACCATAGATGATACTGCAGTGGCATGTACGAAGCTAAGGTAAGAACAGGGGTTCTGTTACTTTAGGCACTGTGCATAGACAGGATCTCAAGCATATTGTCCTCTCAATGAGATGGTCAGCCTCAGCAGAGATATAAGATGATTCTATAAATGCTGATATATATATAGTAAGAAACTCCCAAGTTCTTACCTTCATCAGCATTCAGTGAAGCATGTGTAGTTGCCTGCTAGGGACAGGAGAAGATGCTTTATCTCTGTATTTTAAACAAAGGGTGCATCAGCCATAAGTAAACATAGATCGAAGCAAAGACCTGGGG